TTCTCCCTCTGCCTGCCCCTCCCCCTGCTTGTGCTCTTTCTCTCTCTCTCTCTCTCTCTCTCTCTATCTCTCTCTGTGTGTCAAATAAATAAATAAAATCTTTTAAAAAAAAAACAATAGAACTGTCAACAAAGACATAATTTAGTACTTGTTGCCCATGGGCTCACAATACTAGTTGGCTTTAGATAGGACAGACATTAAAAGGAAGAAAGGAAGAAAGGAACGAGGGCTGGGATGCCTGGGTGGTTCAGTTTGTTAAGCGTCTGCCTTGGGCTGGGGTCATGCTCCCAGAGTCCTGGGATTGAGTCCTGTGTTGGGTCCCTGCTCAGCGGGGAGCCTGCTTCTCCACTTGCCTGCAACTTCCCCTGTTTGTGCTCTCGTGCGCTCTCTCTCTCTCTCTCTCTCTCTGTCTGACAAGGAAATAAATAAAACCTTTAAAAAAAAAAAAGGAAAGAAAGAAAGAAACAAGGGTCAATACTTTGGGCTGGACAATGCTGGAAGGTTAGCAAAACTTATTTCTATGTGTGAGATCATTAAATACATCTTAGGTATCTCTTGTTATAGTATCTTTAATCTATTTTAAAACATGTATACTGAGGGAATGTAATAGTGTATACGAGCCAGTTAAAGCTTCAACTTTAGGGGCAGTCAACTGTCCTAATACCTATACCTCAGGGATGGTAAGCCAGCACTATGTAAGAAAGGCCACACTTCCTCAATTTCTTTCATAAGTATTCTGTAGTTTTTAGAGTATAGATCCTTTACCTCTTTGGTTAGGTTTATTTCTAGGTATCTTATGGTTTGGGGTGCAATTGTAAATAGGATCTATTCCTTAATTTCTCTTTCTCCTGTTTCATTGTTTGTGTATAGAAATGCAACTGATTTCTGTGCATTGCTTTTATATCCTGCCATGTTGCAGAATTCCCGATCATAGAGGAAGGGAGGAAAAACTGAATGGGAAGTAATCAGAGAGGGAGAAAAACCAAGAGAGGCTCTTGACTATAGGAAACAAACTGAGGGTTGCTGGAGGGGAGGTGGGTAGGGGTATGGGGTAATTGGGTGATGGGCATTAAGGAGGGCACCTGATGTAATGAGCACTGGGTGTTATATGCAAACGATGAATTATTGAACTCTACATCTGAAACTAATGATGTACTATATGTTGGCTAATTGAATTTAAATTATAGAAAAAGAAAGGCCATACTTCAGGGGCAGTTATTACAAGTTACTAGATCAGTAACTGAGGCTTTGCTAATTAGCATTCTAATATGTCAAGTGAGCATTTACTGGTGAAACTAAAAGGATACAAGACACATGGAGAATGATATCAGAAACTTTTTTCCATTTGATCCGATAGTAGAGTTACTCTACTCCTGGTGTGCCAAGCAATATTACTCACAGCACCCCCTTCCACTCTCAAAGGTATCATGGTTTGGATGATAAATTATATGGATATTCTACCTAGTGGTGAGACTGTAGGGGATAAAACCGAGCCCTATGAAATTTCAAACTGCTCTGCAGCTACTATTTTCTACCAAAACGATCCTGGAGCTGTGACGACCACACTGACTCCCGAAGTACGGATGGAATGCTGTATACAAACTTCAATCTCTTTTCACAAAACTCAACTACAGAGCTGTAGGATACTCTCATCATGAAAATAACAGGCTAGATGATTTGAATCAATCCTCCCATTGAGAGTAATTTAAAATGCAGGATAAAATATATTTATCAAATATCTGAAAAGCATCAAAAAGCATCCAAGAGGGGAATTACCATGCTAAACAAGAGAGAATGCAGAAAAATGAGCCAGTTCAGAAACTGCTTTAGCCCTATCCCAAGGAACTTGAACTTCCTATTGACAGCCTGATGAAGCCAAAGGCCAAACATTAAGGCTCAGGGCCCACACAAAGTAGAGATTCTAGACTTAGGTGACAATAAACTGGAACTCAAAGGGCTATGCACCCAGGGAAATCAACTCAGCAATGGATGAGCAGTTAGCATTGCCTCAGGGGATCCCTAGAGCTTGATTTAAGGAGATCCTAAAGCCATAAAGACCCTAAGCTCTAGCACACTAGGTAAATCATTTCTGAAAAGCACCTTCATCCTAGACTTTAAATTATTCTAAACCATTGGAGTGTTTTTGTTTTGTTTTGTTTTGTTTTTTTCCAGAGGTGGCACACCACAGTTTCACCTTCCCATTGGAAAACTGTGATAATTTACAGGACAGTTTAGAAGATACCAGAACACATTGACAACTGCATTAGAGCTGCTCATGTCCTCACTGTAACCTTTGTGTGCAGGTGCGCGCGCGCACGCACCTGCACACACGCAGTTAATTATTTGGGACTGCCTCACTTGTATTGCCACATTAGTAAACTTAGTCAAGAAACCGATCCTTTCTTCCCTCTCTGCCCTTTGACTCAATGTGACACTGAGAACTCTACATGTGCTATTGCAGAAAATAATCTTTGAGTCTGAGCAGGGTGTGGTGTTCAGCGGACACGGTGGCAAGACCACGATTAGACATTTGGCACCTCTAATCCAAGACTTCCATGCTAATTACTCTAACATGGCGCTTTAAAAATAGAAACATTACAAAGTAAACTCAACCCTAACCTTTTTTGGAGTTTTGGTGAGAGAAAAGAGAGAAAGAGAAAAAAAATTCCTGCCGTGTTACATATACTCTGTTTTCAAGATACCAATGCTGGTTGTAGAAAAAGCACAATCTTGAAAAAGCAGCTCACATGAATGAAAAGAACAGGACCAGAGAGTGAAGAGGGCTGGGCCCAAGTTTAGTCTGTTCCACTAACGTGCTTTGCGACCTTGAAAAAGAAACCTAACCACCAAAAGGTCTTCGTTTGCTCTTCTACAAGATGATACGAGAGGTCTGGATAAATTCTGTGGCTGCTTCTACAACCAAAATCAATGATGTTTATGCTTCTGTGGATTTCTCAGTGGAGGCATATCCTGATAGAAGTCAAGTTTATTCTAGAGGCCACGAGTGACTCTCACACGTAAATCATGGTTCCAGACAACATACTGAGACAGAACAGGACTTTATTCACTGCAAGGCATACCACTTGCTTCTTCAGACTTAATTTTTAAAGCGGCTGTTTTTTAGAAAACCATGTACAGGGTTTCAAAGTGACTCAAGCAATCACTTCACATCCTAATAGGATAAAGTTTATGCATAATTCTGTGTGACCCTTCAACTACTGACGTTCATGCCATGTTATTGTTAGCATTGCATGTTAAACTAGCAAGTTTTCAATGAACTCTCACTGGCTTTACCACAGACACAGATGTTAGGCGGACTCCTTTGTTCATAAGGTTCTCATTATTAACTCAACCCGGGTTGAATATTTGACTGAAGGAAAGGACCATATCATTATTTTCAGATTTCATTCTATGACTTAACTGGGCTACATCTGCCAGCTTTAGAAACGCCAAGTACTTCTTGGCGCCAGCCTTGGCGTCCTGTTCTGTGACTACTACCCCCAATGCTTCAGTTTGAGGAAGTCTCCTCACCATCAAAACAGTTTAATAAAAACTTAAATTATGATTAAGAGTTACTCATCAATTGACAGAGCATACCAGGCTTGCGCTATTTATGAATTATTCCACACAGTATTTTAAGGCTAACAAATAGAATCCACATTCATAAAGGGGTAAGCTAGAAAGCCAGTTAAATGTTTTCATGATTTATAAAGTCTGGGTTATACTTGAAACCATATTTCTTTAATAGGTAAACTGGCATTCCATTGGATAAATCAATCTGCTTTAAATCTATTCTAAGGCTCTGGACAGCTTATGGGACGTTCTGAATATAAATATATTTCCTCTATTCACCTTTGGGCAATATCTCTCAGCATAAATGTGATAGGAAGATATGGCACAGGAATGCCTGTCAATTATAGGGTGGATTTCAAGTATTTAAAGTATTGACACTAAAGCCACTTACAAAACGTTAAAATCAGCCTAACTCTAAACAGGGAGAATATTTTATAAGCCTGGTTAAAGATATAAATTAAAACAACAACATAAAAGAAATAACAACAGGCCCTGATATGACTGCTTCCATGTGTCTGGATCACCAACAATAATATAAGTGGGCAAGAATCATTTGAAACTATCTTTGATGGTTATTAGAAAAAAATAATTCAATCCCTCTAGGCATAGAAAAGCCCAGGGGTTTACATATAGTCATACCAAATGACTGAAAGAAGAGGGACCGTTTCCCACCCTAAAAAGTTATACATAATAAATTTACTTTTGTGATTCTTTCAGCATCTCATCGTATCTGGGGATGGGAGGACAGGTGGACTAAGCGAACATGCCCCCTCACCTGTCCAGTGCTTTATAGACATCCGCAACAAACGATCATTCAGCCTCTTGAACACTTGAGTTTTCATTTAATTACTATACGTGGCAATCCAGTCTACTATTCGACATCTCTAATAATAAAAACATTCTTGAAATAATAACAATAAAACAAGCATCCATGTAACTCCTACACTGGTTGAAGCCAATCTGTTAGAAAATTTATGTTAGCTCATCAAACACTTGAGATTCAAGTCTCAACATATTTATCTCTCCAGTACACTATTTTCAGGTATTTTCAATGGCTGAGACATACCACTATCACTCCTGTTTATCAGTCACTCTTTGAGCATGGCATCCCAAAGTAAATACCTCAGATATAGTCTAATTCGCTACAGAGCACAGTGGGACCAGTATTTCTGATGAATTAAAAATGAAATCTTTATTAATGCAGATGAAATACGTCACATGAGAATCAGGCTTTTAGCAAAATATAGAAACAACATAAAAGTCAAGTTACTAGTAACCCCTCCAGAAACGATCATGGTAGAAAGTTTGGTAGCACTTACAGGAAACATACTCATCTCAAAAACTCTAAAATAACTTTACCACCAAACAGCACATCTGTCAGCCCAAATGTGGGTATTCAAAAGCTGAATTTTTATGTTTATACTCACCATGTTGTATATCTTTCATATCTAAATGAAGGCTAGACATTAATATTCCAACTGCTTGTGATCTTTTGTTGCTTAATAACTTGACCACCTGCTCAAAGAAAGGAAAAGGGGAAAATGTTAATTTGAATTCCAATGATATACTTGATAACATGTTCTTTTTAATCCTAAATGAAGAACATATAGCTTAACGTCATTACTTTAAGTATTCCAACTGATCTGGAAAGAACTTTCATGTTTTATGTCTTCCATCTTCAAAATCCACCATCCTCAGCCATCAGCCTCAACGGCAGGCTCTTTACCAGTTTTTTAAGAGACTGATCTGGGGGCGCCTGGGTGGCTCAGTCATTAAGCGTCTGCCTTTGGCTCAGGTCATGATCCCAGGGTCCTGGGATCGAGCCCTGCGTCGGGCTCCCCACTCGTCAGGAAGTCTGCTTCTCCCTCTCCCACTCCCCCTGCTTGTGTTCCCTCTCTCGCCGTGTGTCTATCTCTCTCTGTCAAATAAATAAATAAAATCTTAAATAAATAAATAAATAAATAAATAAATAAATAAAAGACTGATCTGTCAGCGAGTCAAATTTCTAATAGCTTAGGATATTAGTTTGGTCTCCATGAAATAACAATTACACATTTGATAATTTGCAGCCTGAGACTTTAAGTGTTCCTTTCGTAATGTTGGGCCTTAAAACACTGGTCAACAAGCAAAGGGTAAAGTCTACACACAGAGAATCTGTTAGATCAGACCTGTTTGAGCACAAAAGAGAAAACGTCCTTTGATTCTGGTCCTTCAGAAAGCTCACTGTCTTACTGGCATTCCCTCTCATTCTGCATTTGGCCCACGTTTTGTGGGGAACTTTCCAACTAATTAATAGAGGAATACAAGCAGCAAATCCAAAGGGCTATGTCTGCTCAATCTCAAATCTGTCTTTCCAGAGAGTCCTAACGAGTCAGTCAATCCACACACCCCACAAGAAGTTTTCCTAAAATAGAGGTGGGCATGCTGCTTTGGACATACAAATTTAAACTATGTTTTCCAGATACTGACACACCACTGATAAATCCTGCTTATGAAACCATTATCCCAGGTCCTGAAGGGCAGCAATTTCTATTTACTGTCATGGTTTTGTTATAAGTCTGCTTAGAAAAAACACTGGAGGAAAAGGGGGAAAAAAGGTTATGGTCCGATTATCAGAAGTGATAGCTGCCCTAATATCTATCACATTCGTTGACCTTGTCTTTCTTTTTTAAGTTGTGCCAGTCAGTAAACTAATAAAATAATCATGTCCAGCTGTCACACAAAGTTTCAGAGTAAAACAATATTCTTAACCGCAATAATAGCATTCTTGGTTCCCCAGCAGGGATGGGGGTAGAGAATAAAACAAACAGACCAACCACAAAAACCTCCACACTCATTTCTGCAAGCTTCTTGTAGAAAGGAATAATACCCCACAAGAGACCGTGCTTCCTCAAAAGAATATATACGTATACACACACATACACATATGTATATAAATTGTGATTCTTAATTTGCTCTTCAAACATTTTATTAAAGTTCAGCTACAATATTAGCTTAGAACTTGAATACGAATCCATTCATACCCCAAGTATTCCTATCAATAATGTTATCTTCTTCAGAAGTGAATAGAAACTCAATATCAGAAAAACAAAAGGCATGTATTCCGTCCTCAGAAACATTTTCTAATGTCAGGTAAATACAATCTGGGTCCGATCCGTGGTACTCTGACAAAACTAAATGCATTGGCATCCACATGTCAATTGACCTTTCTGCAGTGCTGACAGGCGGATCACACCCTTATAGAAACCCTTTATTCCACAGCTCCTGGCAGCCCTTCTCGGGCCTTTTCAAGGTGAATTATTCTGATTTCACCTTAAATACTGGCATATTTCAGAGTTCTGTTCTGAGTACTTTATTCTGTTGACTTTATGACCTATAATTTCTCCTCTATAGACATACATGCCAACACTTACAAATTCATTCTTATAACTGTAACTTCAACGCTACAGTATCCTACTTTCCTAACAGATATCTGCACATAAATCTCCATTTGACATGTCTAAGACCAAACTCGTCATCAGGTCCACCCCAAAACCTATCCATCTTCTCCTCTTTTATTCCATATGTTAAGATAATGGCACCACAATATTCCACCCACCTACTAAAGTTAGAAATCTCGAAATCAATCTAGACTCTTCTAGACTAGACTCTACCTCTACTTCATCTGTATACTCTGGTCTGTTAACAAGTCCTGTCAATTGTAACTCCTCTATATTTTTGGAACCCACCCTCCCTCTTCAACTCTATTGTCAGCATTTATTTCTATGTTTTATCTTAATAGATCAATGCAAAAAATTTCTAACTAGCCTCCCAAATCTAGTGCAGTAGCTCTCAATGTGTGCTCCCTGGACCAGCAGGCATGATCATCACCTGGAAACTTTTTAAAAATGCAAAACTTTTTTAAAATGCAAAACCTACTAACCAGAAAGTGTGGGCAAAAACAGATTTTCCTCAGTCTGCACTTCAAAAAAACCTTTTAAGTGACTCTAGAATCACTGATAACTCTCACTGCTTCCTGTCCATTCTCCAAACTGATTTCCAAGTACCATCTCTAAGAGTGCTGATATTTGCATGTCCTTCCTATCTCTTTAAACCTGAATGGCTCATATTTACACATTAGTCTTTTAAAAGGTCGTACAGACTTCCAGTCCATGAGCATGGAATATCTTTGCATTTGTTTATGTCATCTTCAATTTCTTTCATCAATTTTTTATAGTTCTCAGAGTATAGATTGAAAGAATTAATATTGTTAAAATGTCCATACTACCCAAAGGAATCTACAGATTCAACGCAATCCCTATCAAAATACCAATACAATTTTTCATAGAACTAGAACAAATAATCCTAAAAGTAGTATGGAACCACAAAAGACCCTAAGTAGCCAAAGCAATCTTGAAAAAGAAGAACAAAACTAGAGGTTATCACAATCCCAGATTTCAAGGCACACCACAAAAGTATAATAATCAAAACAGTATGGTACAAAAACAGACATATAGATCAATGTAACAGAATAGAAAACCCAAAAATAAACCCACAGTTATATGGCCAATTAACCTACAACAAAGGAGATAAAAATATACAGTGGGGTAAGACAGTCTCTTCCATAAATGGTGCTGGGAAAACTGGACAGCTACATGCAGAGGAATGAAGCTAGACAACTTTCTTATACCATACACAAAAACAAACTCAAAGTGGATTAAAGACCTACATGTGAGACATGAAACCATAAAACTCCTAGAAAAGCAACATAGGCAGTAATCTCTTTGACATGGGCCTTAGCAACATTTTTCTAGGTATGTCTCCCCAGGAAAGGGAAACAAAAGCAAAAATAAATTATTGGAACTACACCAAAATAAAGACCTTTTGCATATGAAGGAAACCATCAACAAAATGAAAAGGCAACCTACTGAATGGGAGAAGATTTTGGCAAATGATATATCCAGTAATATATAAAGAACTTATATAATTCAGTACCAGTAATAATAATAACCCAATTAAGAAATGCACAGAGAACCTGAATAGACATTTTTCCAAAGAAGACATACAGATGACCAAGAGGCACACGAAAAGATGCTCAACATCACTAATCGTCAAAGAAATGCAAATCAAAACCAGAATGAGGTATAACCTCCATCAGTCAGAATGGCTAGTATGAAAAAGACAAGAAATAATAAGTACTGGGGAGGATATGAAGAAAAAGGAACACTCATGCACTGCTGGTGGGAATGTAAATTGGTGTGGTCACTGTGGAAAACAGTGTTGAGGTTCCTCAAAAAATTAAAAATAGAAATACCATATGATCTAGTAATTCCACTACTGGGTATTTATCCAAAGGAAATGAAAACACCAATTTGAAAAGACATATGCACCCCAATGTTTACTGCAGCATTATTTACAATAGCCAAGATATGGAAGCAAGCTAAGTGTCCATTGACTGATGAATGGATAAAGAAGATTTAGTATATACATACACTGGAATATTACTCAGCCATAAAAAGGAATGTAATCTTGCCATTTGTGACAACATGGTTGACCTCTTGGTTACTGTGCTATGTGAAATAAGTCAGAGAAAGACAAATGCCATATAATCTCACTTACATATGGAATCTAAAAAAAAAAAAAACACATGAACAGACAAACAAAAATAGACCTATAAACAGAGAACAAATTATTGGTTGTCAGAGGGGAAGAAGGTGGGAGGGTGGGCAAAATGGGTGAAGAGGAGTGGGAGAGACAGGCTCCCCATTAAGGGATGAATAAATCATAGGAATAAAAATATAGCATAGAGAATATAGCCAATGATACTATCATAGTGATGTATGGGGACAGATGGCAGCTACACTTGTGGTGAGCATAGCATAACATATAAAGATGTTGAATCATTATGCTGTACATCTGAAATTAATGTAACACTGTGTGTCAACTATACGTCAATTTAAAAAATAAAATAAAATGTCACTTAGACTGTTCACTTGTTTTTTCTGTATAATTCAAATGAACTTATTATAAACTATTATTTTACATTTAAATCCCTAAGATTATAGGTAGGAATAAGAACTATCCATCACTTTCTAGAAGGCATATACACAGGAAAGGACAGATGTTTAAAAGGATCGACTCTATAGTTCCCTAGAGTAACTCAACTTTTATATTACAAACCATAGTCATTATTTATCTTTCTTTTAAAAAACACCCTGGATGGGGCACCTGGGTGGCTCAGTCAGTTAAGCAGCTGCCTTCAGCTCAGGTCATGATCTCAGGGTCCTAGGATGGAGTCCTGCATCGGGTTCCTTGCTCAGCGGGGAGCCTGCTTCTCCCTCTGCTGCTCCTCCTGCTTGTTCTCTCTCTCCCTCTCTCTTTCTCTCTGACAAATAAATAAAATCTTTAAAAAACAAACACCCTGGATAACAAGAACCTGAAACTATCAAACTAGAACATTCTTAGAATCCAGGTACTATAGGTGCAATGGAGAGGAGAGAGTTGACTCTTAGAAATTGATCTCAGAAAACATAGTT